TGAAGGAAAAAATGAGAGCAAATCGACAGGAGTAAAATTGTGCTGCCTTTGGTTTGAATCTCCTCGGACGGACGAGAGCCCAGAAGCTACTTTAAGAGTCGAGATCTTACCCAAAAAGCGTTGGCCTTTCTTGAGGTCCCTTTCTGGGACCTTAATCCTTAATCTGGGAATTCGAGCTAACGCTTTCCGAGCGTGGTGTTGGAGCCATTACTTTTGGTGGAGCCTGGGAAAATGCTTCATCTTCATCACAATTAATCTACTAAGTCTGGTCGTCAGAAGTTCGGTCTGAAGGGACCGGCTGTTTCGGTTCGAGTTCGTCAAACAGGATTCTTAACGTCTTTTTCGGATCGACGTTTTTTCCGCTTCACTTTTGCTTCTTTCGAATTTCCAGCTTACTTCGGTTTTCATTGTTTTCGTGTCTCTGTTCCCTCGGATACATTGTCAAATAATTTTTTTTTATCGTAATCAAATCTCCATGCATCAAACTCGGCGTGATGATCGAGGAAGTTGTTTGAATTCGTTCCGCGTAAATTTGGCTTTCCGATTGCAAGGCTCGTATCGATTTGTTCGTGGGATCCGCCCCGTGTCCCATGCTCCTGACACTTGGAACCAAAAGCTATTGATATTAACGGCTTCAAGCCTACGTGGATGGAAAAGCGTCATTCGAAGATGAGCAGAACCGGAGGATGAGCAAAACCGGAGGATGAGCAAAACCGGAGGATGAGCAGAACCGGAGGATGAGCAAAACCGGCTCGAGATGGCTGGGGAACTCCACGCCTCTTCGTAGGGAATTTGATTAGCGTTCTGGGAACTTAATTTGCGAGTTCGTCGTGACGGGAAACCTGCTGAAGATGGGAGAGGAACTCGGTCGTAACGCGATTGCATCGACCGTGAAAAAATGCTCGTTGTTGCCGAGATTCGCAACGACCGAGGTTGCATCGGGGGAACCCGAGGAACTCGGAGGAACTTCACCTCTCTCATCTTCCATCATTGCTCCACCGTGAAGACTTCTCGTCTCTTTCGCTCCTCGCAGCGCACGGTGTCAACAAGAACCGAGACGGGGATAAGATCTGACGGGGACTGCGTGTGCATCCTTGCGCACCCTTGCGCACCCTCGTGCGCCCTCGTGCACCCTCCTTCCATCTTCACGCACCTTCCCTCGGTCACGCACACTGCACACGCACGGGGCCTTTCAGGTATGCACATTCCGAGGAAATTTAAGTTTTTTTAAATTTGGGATGGAATCCCCAGTTATTGGGAAAGCATACCATTCGACGTTTCAAGTTGATCATTCTTATAAATAGCCTTAAAGTCGCAGCTGTCCAGCAAAATACATATATCTTTCATAATAATTTAATTTGCTGACAGTCAAGTAGATTTTGAAACGATCGGGTCCTTTGAGAGTACCGAGTACGAATTTTACTTCATCGGTTTTCATCTCTGCCCTCGAAATCGATATTAATTGCGGTTCGGTGAACGTTTGAACCGTCGATCCCGTCGCTGCGACGAAAACTCACTTCGGCGTAACCGAGGTCTCTTTAGAACCAAGGCCCTCATAACCGAATTAGACTAATTTAGAAGAAAAAGTCAAGAGAAGAAAATTCTAGTAAATTTCGTTCGCGCGGGAAATAAAAAAGACACGTTGAAACGATCCTGGAAACGCCAGGTTTGCGTTGGCTTCGATTTTTTAAATTAGATACAGAAAGCATTGATTTTTATATAATTATCTACCTTGAAGTGGGTAGCGTTCTGAAATCTCCATTTGAGGACCCAAAACATTGACCCATTTTCACAGGAGAATGCTGCCGAATGAATTTTCCATCGCGTGGGAAGCGATGGAACCATCGCTTCCTGTTTGTCTCATCCGACGGTGTTCGCTTGTTTTTTTTCCTGTTTGTTTTTTTTTTCCACACAGATCTCTGGTTTTTCGATTCGAAGGAAGTCGGACCGTGGAACGGGCTGCACTTTCTCGTCATTCGCGCTTCGAGCACCTGTTGCGGAGGTGCTGCCACCTGTCGGTCGACCGTGGAACCAGCTAGGTTCGACGGCTCTTGACGACGGCTGCTACTTGGCGGCGAAATTCCAGACTTCGAGCAACGCATTCGTTCGAAAGTCGAGGATACGAATATAAAATATGCTATGGTCGCGCCTTCGGCGCTCCATTACCTTGGATAGTGATTAATTCATTCATTTTTTGCTGAATGGGAAACACGTACTTAAAGTACGTCCCCATTAAAATACGTGACATATGGGGTCGAAAGTCTCGATCTGTATCAAACTCTTTACTTCTATGATTCTGTGTGCCTGGCTTTAAATCTTTTCTTGTGTCCCTTTTTGTACGGGTGGAGAATACAGGGTGGAGAATGCCAGGTTTCAGCTTTCCATGTCTCTCCGTTTTACTCAAGCACCGACCTCGTTGACATTCGACCCTCGGATTGCCTGCGAATCCCGGCGGGCACTGACAGACGGCCCTCCGATCGTCCACCCTGCACTGCGCGTTGAGCCCGCACGCCCCCTCCTGGAGGCACGGGTATCCCTTTCATATTCAGGTAGATAACTTATTGAGTGGCCCTCGTATATTAGATGATGCTCGAAAAGGCTGCGGCCGCTTCATATCTGGCGTTTTTCGTGTCGGTCGCCGTATGTCGCCGTCGCGGTAGTAATTAAATGCATACGATGAGAATATCGCAGTTGCAACGTTCGAAGAACCGGGGAATTGCTGCGGCTGCTACTTTATTGCGTCCTCTGGACTCCGTGCCGCCTTCCGAATTCGACGGAAGGCGGTCCGAAGAACGGAAATCGCGGGAGAGCCTGGTTCTCCTGCGAATCCCCACCGACTATCGTCCGTAACGATACTCGACCCGAGGAATCGAAATTCTCTTCGATGAACGACGAAAACGACGGAACGGACGCGAACGGACGCGAACGGAGCACCGAGACCTGGAAGAATCCACGACGCGGCGGCATCTATCGGCGGGATCGAACGTACCTCGGAGCGAGATCGGACGAGACCGACCCGCGACGTAAGTGTGCCGTCAGTTCCCTCGGGTCATGGCAGAGGGGAAGGACGAACGAGCGAGCGAGCGAGCTTTATCTCTCTCTCTCTTTCTCTCTCTCTTCCAATCAGCGGTATGGAACGTCGACGTGGGAGTTACCTCGCATTTGTCTCTCGCGAGTTTCGGCCGGAGACGAAATCATGGGGTTCCTTCGTCGCGTCCGCTCCTTCGCGATTTCCGCCGTCTCGCGCGCCTGGCCCTGGCTCTCGTGGCCCAGGCTCTCGAGTGATGTCACCGCCAAGGAAAAGTGGGCTTCGAACTCTGCGCAGCACATATAATCGTCGAAGCATCGAAAATCCCTTTCACTGACGATCGGATAACGTCTCGGAAAGAAAAGAACGCTATCGAATGATTAAAAAAAAAAACAAAGAAAGAAAAGGCTCTTCCTTCTTGAGCCCACCTGTATTAATGAGCCCAGCCCACCGCATCAATTAGACCCCGACGGTTTCACCTCGAGTTCGCGGAAAACGGAAACTCGGTGTCTCGAAGAAGTCCGGCATAAAATAAAGGGAATTTTGATTCGGCAAAAAGAAGCCTTAAGCGCGTTTGCCTCTCGGCTCTCGATTTTCCGCTTCAGCCGGAAGCTGCAGAGATGGGGAGTCCATTTTTTCGTCCTAAAAAATCGCCAACTGACCGGATTCGAACGCATTTCAGGTGAACCGGGACACCTGAATTTGGAAACGTGCTCCAGTCGAGATCCAGCCGAACGACATCAATTCCCCCGTAGCCACGTTTCGCAGGCGACCGTATGCTTCATTCCAATTTTGGTCCGAAAATCTTCCTCTGGGGGAGAGAGAGAGAGAGAGAGAGAGAAGTTCCATGTCTTCCATGCGAGATTGGTTAACCGGAAAAGCACTCCGTATTGACCCTGTCTCATTTAAGAAAATCCTCATTTTCTCCCCTCTCCTTCCCCAACCACTCGGCCCAAGCAAGAAGGTTTTTCTTAACTGAGACGGGGTTAATTTAAGTGGGTGTTGGCCATAGCGACTCGACCAGGTGACCGAAACGGGCCATCGCTGTTCGGCTTCTCACTTCTCTCGTTCATCCTCTCGAGGATTCCGTCGCCTGGAGTGTTTGCTTTTGGAAGAAGAGAAGAGAGTGGAAGGGTGGAGACGAGCGAAAAAACCCGGCGTGTGTTCTGTTTTTAAAGAATAAGCATGGAAATGCTTCGTCGGGCTGCTTTCCCGACGGGGGACATCGATCGAGCGTGAGAGAAAGTCTCCGATGGAACCCTCGGCCGAAACGGGAGGATTCCGAGGGTCCAGTCTCATTCTTCATAGCCGAAGACACGAGGAAATTCTCAGGTCCTCGAGACATAATAGCCTTATTAAGTGATTTACGTCCCCCCGCCCCGAGGTAGACTCGAAGGCGAGAATCCAGTGGGTCGACCATAAAATCCCGAACCTTGATATCCGGCAGACGACGGAAAATTGGGCTACGAAACGCGTTCAGACGCCTATCAAAGCGCCGAGACCATCTTTTCCCGTCTCAACGTAACCTTGGGGTTTATCAAGTTCGGGAATTCTCGACGTCGTCGATCACTTGCTTTCACATTCACGACGCCATCCAATTAAACTCCGAGGAAGGAAGACCCAATTCCGCACGAATTCAGTGCACGAAAGTCATTATGATGGTATTGTGCAGAGAATTCCAGAAGTGAAGAGAGGCGATCCGAAAATCCCCAATTATTCTGAGGCGCATCGACGATCGATACTTGACGTCAAACGCTCACCGATTGGGAGGTCTAAATTTTTCAGACGGATTTATTTCTCGTGGATTCTCTGATGTCTCGTTTGGTGCATCCCAAACTTTCGTCCCCACCGGTGGGGAGGGGGAAGGGGGGGGGGGGGGGGGAGGGGGAGGGGAGGGGAGGGGGAGGGGAGGGGGAGGGGATGAAAGTGCAGGAGAAAGCAAATCGCATGGGAAGGTGCATGCCCTTTGGCCATGGAGTTGACACACATCGGGGAGACGACGCTCTTACGAAGCAGCTTTCTCCTTCGCAGAAAATGGGACATTCGAGTCATGGGGGACCGAAATCAGTTGACCGTAGACGAATGCAGGGATGCTGTTTCGGTGAGTGTATGCCACATCGCCCGAGGCCGACGGGAGGTGAGGGCCGTTATTTGATTCTCCTGCACGGGGGGGAGGGGAGAGGATGCGTAAAGAAAATCACGCAGGGAAAGAGAAAGAGCGAGAGATGTGAGAGCCTTTTTTCCTTCTGAAAGTTCTCGCGAGAGAGATAGAGAGAGAGGGAGAGAAAGAGAGAGAGAGGAGAGAGAGAGAGCCAGAGGAGGGAGGTACGTGAAGCGCTCCACTTTACCTTCACTCATGAATGTGCCAGGGGAGGACTCGGACCCTCACAGGTCATGCTCTTGACGTCCCGACCTCCCTTCGTCTGTATCTTCCTTCCTTCTTTTCTTTCTTCGGTCCTCTAGGGCTCAACCTCTGATGCCATGCAGGTCAGGAGCCTCACGGGTTACTTGAAGAAGGCCTCGTTGCCCGGGTGAGTGAAAACGGGGATCCAACGATTTCCACCCGTTTCGGGTATTTTTGACGAGCGTCGGTTTGTGGAACTCGTGCCGTTGTGTTCGTGATAGGTGTTTTCCGGATGTGTTCCGACTCGTGTCCATCGCCACGGCCTTCTATCTGTGTCTCTTGTGCATCCAATTGGAAACGGAGCTGAAGGAGTTGAGGCCTTCCTCCTCCTCGTCGGCCCTCGTCCCAGGTGAGAGCATTGCAGAATCGGTCCCTTCAAGGTCTCGCGAACGAGCGACGCCTCCCCAGAATGACCCGGGGGGTCGCGGGGAAAACGCAAGGAATCCCGATGAGGCCTCGGACCAAGGCTGTCGAAGTGCGAGTGGATGGAGTCTCTTGTGGTTCTTCCATCACTTTCACGGCGACCTCTTTTCGAGGAAAGCCTTTCCGGGAGAAGAAAGAAATCGCTTCTCGCTCGTGCACTGTGAAAAGTTGCCGAAGGATGCGGTAAATAATAGGTGTGGCTCATCCATATCCACCATTTTCCTTCGTTTTGCTGGAAAAAAAAAAGAAAGTGCCGTTACCTTTGTTAAACATTCGGATTGGGGAGCGGCTTTAGCGCGCGCTTTTTTCGGTACTTCGGCCCCGAATCGTTCGCGAGAGGCCTGCTATTTTCCAAGAATCTGCCGCCCTATTGCCATGGTATTATTCTTTCCTCACGATCTGCCTCGACCTGGAATCTCCAGAGGATGAAATCCAAATCGGCTTTCGCTGAGAAAGGAAAAGGGACAGCACGGCAATTGGCTTCAATAATTGCACGCTTGCGACCGGAGAAAGAAAGAAAACGCATCGAAGCGTATGGATCCACGAACGAAAAAAAAAACAACATTGCGTCTTTCGCTCGGACCGTAATCTGCCCCAGAAAAATTGCGCAAAATCTTCATCGTGCTAAAAAAAAATAATTGAGAGGTGTAACGGTCCCGCAATCGCTCCGTGCCGCCACGCCTCATCGGTCGCCAGTGACAATGGGGATCCGAACGCATGGAAGAGACGTCTCGGAGAATCCGTGTCACGTCACACATTCATCGGACCTGAATGCGGACCCATTATCGAATAACGGGGAGATAAAAAAAAAGTCGAATAGCGCCCATCCCCGTCCACGTGGCACCGAGGGTTCCGCTCGAGTAACTGCTCCAGGAAGACGCGAGACTTCCAACGAGGGAAAGTGAAGATGAAATCTGATTCACGACGAAAAACATCTGCCGACCGATTTCTACACATGGCGTGCTTTAAAATTAAGAGCCGTATCGTTTGAATGATTGCCTGGCGTTTGTTCACGTCATTCCCCCTTCTATCTTTTTTGTTTAACGTCTCGGTACTTTTTTTTCAGTGAGAAGAAATGTGATAGCTGGAGAACCGGCTGCCCAGAAGTCCAACGGTCTCCACCCGTTAGCATGGGACATCGGAGATGTTCGTGATGTGAGTTTCTTTTTTTTTTTGCTCGCTTTTTTTTTCGCTTTTTTTTCCTTCTTCAATCGAGACGTCGTGCAAGTACCGACAAGGACGAATTGATCAAGCGCGTTCCACGCGCTCCAGGGCATTCACCGAGCGTCGAAAAAAAATCAGTTGATCCGTCATAGAGGAGAAAGTTCTCTGGGAAATAAACGGTGACGCAATTAAAACGAGACTCGGGTTTCCTCTGCTTTTTTTTCCCCCGTTAGCTTCGACCGGAAGACGTGAACACGACGGGTCGGGCGGGGTTGGAACTTCTCTTCTTCAACCGAGTCGGGAAAACCGGGAGCGAAATGATCGACCTGCTCATCGAATACCTCAGCGAAGACAACGTTAACAATTTCAACCTCGTCTACCCGACGAAACAGCAGACGCGGAAGTCCTGGCTCACCATCGAAAAGGAGGTTCGAGATTTCCCCCCTTTTTTTTTTTTTTTTTTTTTTTTTTCCGCGCCAGAACGGGCGGGAAGCGAAGTAGCCCAGACGCGAAACCTGTGGTGGTTCGGGATTCCCCCCCTTTTTTTTTTTTTTTTTGCTCGTTTACCGCGCCAGAACGGACGGGAAGCGAAGTAGCCCAGACGCGAAACCGGGATGCAGGCTAATGATCGCATTCGACCGCAATTGTGCAAATTTCAACCGGTGCATGGGGGTCAGTTCCTGCGAGACTCCACGTGTGCGAAACGCAACGGGTAAAAAAAAAGTACCATGTGGCGCTCAAACGACGCAGAAATGGAGGCGAAGTGGTGGTCGTCGGTGGCCCACATTTCCTATATGCATAATATGCCATAATATACGGTAGTACGTCCAGTCCTGCTCCATTTGATGCGGTCCTCCGATCCTCCAGTCCTCCGATCCTCCGATCCTCCGATCCTCCGATCCTCCAATTCTCCAGTCCTCCGATCCTCCAATTCTCCAAATTCCGATTCATCGCCCGCGATGCTTCCAAATTATCTCGCGGGACGGAGTCCGTTTGCAGCGATTCGGTCGAGCAGTGGCGCTTTTTTTTTTGTAGGCTTAGAGGCTTCGCTGTGGTCCGAGCCACAGCGTTGTGGCTTCGGCTAATTCATCTTACGAGTTGCTGCCGGAACCGAAAATCGACAGAGCGCAGTATCAATCTCGTTCATCTGCCAGTTTTTTTCTTCTTTTTACTGCTTCCATTATCGGCCGTATCTCCTTGTTCGGCAGGGGGGCATCATCAACCGGATATTGAAGACGCCCTTGCCGTCGGCCTACATCACGCACCACGTCTCGTTCTGCAATTTCACCAGGTAAGGAACCGATACGCGAAAGATACCGGTATCAAATCGTTCCATCGCGATGAGACCGAAAGGGCGGGCAGCGAAAGGAAGCGGCGACACGGGACGGGGGATCAAATCGACGGTTTCACACTTTCACCGATCGGTCTCGATGCCCCGGGAATTCGGCTTCACGAAAGGCACGGGGGAACCGAATAGGGGCACGGGGGAACCGAATAGGGAATCGGAGGAAACTCGGAGAAGACATCGAAGACGATACCCAAGAGAACGCAGTGAAAACAATTAATGCCGAAATTTGTTTTGTCAGAATCACGCACACGTGCGTGACTCTTACGGTCGTTTAAAAAACTGGCCGTTTCAGGTAGATTTTCCCCAATCATTCGAATTCCCAATCCTTAGAACGGGAAACGCGCCAGTGTTCTACATTCGGAGGAATCTTTTACTCTAAGGACATATTTCCAATGATTAATGTAATGGCTGCTTAAATTTTAGCCCTTCTATGGAATAAATTCAGAAATGATGTCTAAAAATTTTTTCGACCGATGCTGACATCTCGGTGCAGATTTTGCTCTGCCCTCGCGGAACGAGAGGGCCGTCGAGAGAGTAACGGGATCGGTTTCATTCGACGAACAGCGAATCTTAGCATTTGCCCAAGGGTAGACTACCGCGCGTGAACTCTGGATCCCACCCAGAAGCGGTTCGCCAAGACGCAGAGGGAAGAGAGACGGAACTAATTCCGACGGAAAGGGCAGATGCGACGCGACGAGCAAAAGTTTTCTGTTCCAATCATGGCGTTGCGTGAACTTGGTGCTGCAGGTGGTCCAACGGCGAGCAGATGGGTGGCCGGAGGGGAGGCGCGCCGGCGCTTCTTAAACGTTTTAACCCGTTCGGGCTCGTGTATCTTCATTTTGTCGTAATTCTTGGAAAGACCTAAATATTGTTAAATGCACGAGAATGGTAACGATGTCTTGCCTGGGAGAAGGTGCCACTACTCGATCGGTCAGTAGGTGTTCCGTTTTGAGACCACGTAACGTTAGATAATAATTTAAAAAATGCTAATAGTGATTTGACGATGAAACCACTCTGCGGGAAAGGGTAAGAGTTATGATGCCGGTGTGACTTCAGCGGAAGCAGTGCAGAAATGTCTGGACGGGTTAGGTGATGAATGATCGATGATCGTTCGCGATCGTGACTCGATCGCGGCTTCTACCCCTCCCACGTTGCCCTCAGAACAAGGGGCGACTTGGCCTCTGGGTCGACGAGATGCTCTCTGGCGTCGTCTCTCTCGAAGCCGGTTAAAAAAGCGTGGGCGTGGGATGGTAATTCCTCCCCGGATTGAATTTTAATGGGCGATCGGTGGAGCCTGCTAGAAACGAGGAGCATCTGTGCTCCGAGTGTCCAGTCTGGATTCGTGGAATCTCGATAGTACTCGACGAATACTTCTGTGAAGTACTTTCGTCTCCTTAGAAGCGTTGGCTAATACCCCGACGTGATTGACAGTTGAGGGTATCCTTGAGAAAACCCGTTCTGCGTTTAGTCCCGTTACTTTCGAACACCCTTCATCCGTGTTTTCCGAGTACGACATCCTTGTGCTCCCAATACAGAAAAAAAAAACAAACAGAAAGGGCACACAGTCGCCCCGAGGCGAATCTGTCTTCACCTCGGTCGTCGGGATCCCGTCCGTGACATCTTTTCTCTTTCGTTGAATGAGTTCTAGATGAGAGGCGCCGAAACGGTGGGTCGCGACCCACACGGCGCTTCGAGGTTCAGTGCGATTAAAAGAAAGTTTGGGAACCATTGCTTTGGTTAAGCACTGGTTGCTACTCTCACTGCTAGATTCGTACACCGTCGTCGAGGCAAGCCCTTTCATGTCCCATTCGTCAGAGTCCAATTAGAGCAGTTTTTGTTCTCGGTTGTTCTTTGTGATTTACCTTATAAAGTACTTTTCACCACTTTCTCTCGATGGAAACTTGAAACCACGAACGGAATACCACTGGCCCGGGTTGAGTCTAACGAGATCTTATTTGCCGAAGCCGGTTCCGTGGCTTTCTCTCCAAGGAAATGTAGTTTGAATATGCACTGATCGGGACCAGATTCGTACTTAAGGCCTCTAAAATGGTACATTCTATGGGCGAGATGAGTTCATCCGTTATGTCGAAGTCGGTTAGGTAGATTTTTCTTAAGATTGCCACCGTCTTCAATGGCCAGAACTATAGACGAAGATCCTGAACTAGGTACTGTAGGACTCGAGAACTTGGCGAATTGAGGGAGTCGATCGTTTTTGGGATTTATGGCATGAAGATGCGAGTCATGAGGCTGGGAAATTGTATCGGAAAGAGCCGTTCTTCGCCTCGATTCCCCCCAGGCAGCGCATAAAAATGATTCGATGTTGACAGGACGTTTATGGTTTATACCCTCAAAGCTCACATTGAATCATTTCTGATTCAATGTGAGCTTTGAGCTTTGTATCTCATGCGATTACTTGACAAACTGTTACAGTTGGTTGTATCAACTGATTGAATATGGCTAATGTTTCGAAACAGGAACGAACTTCAGAGAATACGGTCGCCAAGGTTGAAGATCACGTGATTGGCAGACTGACGTGTGTCAGTTCTCACGAATTACCGATGTTGGCCAAAATTGTCTCTGAAATTTGTTCCTGTTTTCTGGAGGAAATTTAAAAAATAACCCTCGATACAAATTCCGCACTGCTGCAACATACAAGCTGCTACTTATGGAAAGGGGCTGCGTTGCTGCGATCGTTATTTCTTCAACGTCCCTCGTATGATATACACGCTCGGATCTCGTTCGACAGCGGAAAGCACTATCAGCCCGTGCAGGCTGCGTCTCACTCCTCGAGAGGAGGTAAATCGCGGTAGATCGTGGTCGATCGCGGTAGATCGTGGTCGATCGAGGTAGATCGTGATAGATCGAGGTAAGATTCATTCGTGCCGAAAGAGAGGTCGCGTTGGACACGTCATTCCAGCCGGGAATAGAAGCAGGGCGTGATGAAAAATATCACCCTGGTTCTAATTCCGCGAGCGAATTACTACCCCGCGAGAAGACTAACAAGATAAAGTAGAACTCCCTGGAGTGTTTCCACCTTGCCCGAGAGAGACTCGACGGCACGAATGGGAGAAGCTCGGGGCTGCATTCTTTCCGTCTTTTTCTCCCTGGCCAAATTCTACTTCTAACCACAGCCCGCACAGGAAACATTGTTTCGACCATCCACGTGCTATTTGGGTTGAATCGACGGTATACCGTTGACATCGACGCCGTTTCGGGGTTTGTGAAAGCGACATTTTAATGCGGAACCGACCTTGACAGTTCTATTTTTAAATATGAGCTGTGTTGACGTTGAACGTTGAATTTATGTCGATTCGTTATGAATTTAATACCTGGCTCACTATAAGGCACTGTTATAATAGCTGCTATGGATATTTTGGGTGGTATGCACGAGTTTTCAATGCCAAAACGGACTAATCGGAATACGATCTGCCTAGTGTTCATGCTTTTACCCCTCTCGAGGGACCCTTCATAAAACGAAAATAATTTTATCATTAGAACTTTGACCATGCTTTACACTTCTCCATATGACGCGCTTCAAAATCTACAAGCATGCAGGAAAGAAGTTAGTGCTCACGACTTCTACATTAACGAAAACGAACCGTTTGCCTCAGAAAAATCACGACGATGTTACAAGCACTCGATGGAACTTGAGAGCGTTGAATCCTCTGTGACCAGGCACGATCAGCCGATGCCGATCTACATCAACATGGTGCGGGACCCCGTGGACAGAGTGGTGTCCTGGTATTACTACGTCAGGCAGCCGATTTACCCGCTTCGAAGGCACCTTCGGTGGCCCGAGATCTTCAACGAAGACACCATGCCCGATGGCGAATTCTATCGACGGGTCTGTTCATTTGTCTCTCTGTTCTCTTCGGTCGTGTCAAAAAATCCTGCTATGATTCTTATTGGATTAGGAAATCGCTTCCGGTTGGAAAATCGGGGTAGCCTTCAATCGGTCTGGGATACAGATTCCTTTGCCAAACGGACTTTAACAGCTCATAATTTCATTGAATTCATAGGTGGAGTTGGTTGGAGATTACCCTGAGTCGAATCCAGCGGAAATATTCTGTAGCCTCATATCCTTTTACGATTCTGCATTCCTGTCCGATTTGGAATTTACTTGATCCAATTAGTTGCAGCTATGCCGATCGGTTCCGGGTGAAACCATCTGGGAAATCCAACAGGTTTCTTTGGAATTTTCAACAGGGAAACCATCTGATAGGAAGCTATCGGCTTCATTAGCGCACAATTGCTCATGGGAATTTGTGTACACTCTTAGAAAAGAGTGGGCGATTTTGCTGAGAGGGAGGAAAACTGGAATTAGCTATTTTACTCCCTAAAAACGAGGAAGTAAAGTCGCTGAATACTCTCTTTTCTGAGCGGAATCCCTCCCTTTTTTCAGAGTACAAAGCGAAGAAGGGAGTTCTTTTCAAACTCGTAGAAAAAGTTAGCAATTATTCTTAGAAAAAAGTGGTTAGCAATAGTATTTCGGAGCTTTTAAGGAGTAAACAATCGCTAACTCTAGTTTTACTATCACTCTGAGTAAAATCGTCCTCTCTCCTTATGTGTGTCAATGTTAAAGAAAGAGTCTCATTTTTCGTTTCCGTCGTAGAGGACATACTTGTTTTGTTGTTCGTCCTAGTTCTATTCACTGCATGCATCACTGCTATCTCCCATATAAGTTATATGGGGAGATAGCAGTGACGTGTACGCATATATCATCGTCATGACATAGATGCCATATGACATAGAAGTAGCTTGAGAGGTAAGAAGGATATTTGTCCCTTTACGATTGAGTTACGTGTTCATGGTTTTCCGACTTGCGGTGCAGTAAAGTCTGAAGAACTGTCCCGTGCTGCTACGGGAATGTACTATAGGGGGGGCCTTGGATGAAGTGGAATGCTGCGAAGTATTGTCACCTGGGATGCGGGTAGATTTAGAGACGATCCGCGGCTATCCGTACGAAGTCGATTCCATGCAAACTGCACCCATGACTGTCGACCTGGATGATTCCAATCGGTTGATTGCTCTACCAGACGTCGTCAATATCCATATTCTCCGTGCGATGAGAGCGCTACCCTCGAGTTCCTCCCCTCGTCTGGTGTGATTGGAAATTTCTTTGCTGTCGATCGCTAGACTGTCGAAAGAACGAGAAAATACTCGGCCGTCTGTACTACCGACTGAGCTTCCCCGACTGTCAGGCATAGACTCGCGTAGGAAACGCACAGGACCCATATACACTCGGTGGTTTCCATCTGATACGATGACCTACTATGGTATTCTAGTTGAAGCCGTATTAATGCCCTCGGCCCTAAGTCCGACCATCAATCTCCTTGCACGGGGGCTGAAACTGTTCATAATGAAAGGACTGAAAGGAAAAGTGGTCTATCTGCCAAGAAAAAAAGTTCGAGGAACGGTAAATAGGTCTAATGTGCGTGGTTCCTTTTCCTTTCATTGAGGATAGTAGCTGATGAGAGTCCTGCAGGTGGAAAACTGGTCCATCTACATGAAACACTTTCGTCGCTTTCAAAAAGACTGTTGCCGTAATCTTTACTCTTTCCTTGTCGGACCTGAAAAAACTTTTTTTTTTCTCAGATCAACCAGTTTTCCTTCAGCTCCATAAATGTATTTTACGAGTTACTAGGCGCGAGATTCGGTTCATTCGCCAGAACACAGAGTGAAATGCCGTAGGAACTGCTGGAGGCCGCCGTCGTCGCTTTCGCGTCGTCCGTTTTCATGCCGCAAAACTACGAACAATTGAAATGCTTTCCTTGTCGTTCCGATGTGGGAGCGGAACCAGTGGCACAGCCAGGGTCTCATTTTTCAAACTGCGTCTCTATTTATTAGGCTTCGTCCGTGTTCCTGGTGACCCCCTATGGTTATGCCACTGAGCAACGGGGATGGCAGATGCGAAACGATTTAATCCCAGAGGATATGGAAAATGGCAAAAATAGACATTTCACCTACTGTGCATCTACAGTTAAAAATACTACTCTTGCGACTCTCATGAAACGGTGTCTTTGAGAACCCTTTTTTTTATTCCCCCATTCCCAGAGCGATTTTTCGCTCAGCTGATGCGGATCTCAAACACGTGTAGATGGAAGAACGCCACTTTCCCTTTTACGTAGTTTCTTTGTTTCTTTGAGTCCATGGGCCTACGTGAAAGGAACTTTCCCCGACGCCTCACCTGGTGTCTTTAACGTGACCGTTTCGCGTTTTTTTCTCACGAATGCCTCGAATGACTTTTTTCCTTTCTCGGTTTGCAGGACTTCGAGACCTGCGTGGAGATGAAGCTGATGGAATGCAACTTCCTGCAGGATGACCCGGAATTCCGGGGTGATCAGAGGAGACAGACGCTCTTCTTCTGCGCTCATGGCGATCAACCTTGCAGGTTTGGAAGAAATTTTGCCTTTGTGTAAATCGTATGGCGGAAGAGATCGGCAACTGGAAATATGAAATTAATCAAAATTGTTAACATTTGAAAATTGAGTTTGAGGCAGGTTGTTCATTGTTAGGAACATTCTGTATATTTACTGGATACCGAACCTATTGCATGAAGTTTGATGGTTTTTCTTCACCATTTCTCCATTTTGTCATTAGGCTTACTGACATTTCTCCTTTCTTCCATTTCTCTCTCTCTCGCTCGCTGTCTCTGCGGATCGTCTTGGGGCGACCACAGGCGGTTCAACAGCAAATATTCGGCGCAGGCGGCAAAGGAAGTAGTGGAAAAATACTACGCTGTGGTGGGCGTCCAAGAAGCCATGGACGTCTCCCTCGCCGTCTTCCAACATTACATTCCTCGCTTCTTCCGCAATGCCACCGCAATCTACAACGGTAGGCGAACGCCTCCTCTCTCGCCTTCCACCTTCGATCCGTGCTTTTCATCGGTTTGGGGGGGGGGGGGGGGGGGGGTTGTCTCCATAAGCCGCTATGAAAATTTCGTGATCGAATCCATGAAATAATTTTTCTGGAGTATATCTGCCCGTGGATTATGAAAATGGGAAAAGAAACAAGGCGTAGCGGTGGAACGAATCATGTTAAGTAAGGAGAATTCTTTTTCTCCTGCGGCTCACGTGCCGCACGTGCTGAAGGTGCTATTTTTTCAATTACTCCTCGCTTCCCTTCCCCTCTCTCAGACGGAGCCAATTATGAGAACAGGGCCATAGAAAGGGAAAGTATGCCAGTTTTGTATGCCCAGGATATCTGGCGCATTCTGTTCTCAATGCAGCTGTTGTATACCATTCTGTTCCTTCCGCGTTTACCCTGAAGGAGAAAGCAGGCAGACGGCGTCTTCACGAAGTGAATAATCTTTTTTTAATGCACATCGGACACGGCAACCTTTAACGAGACTCCGAAGAGGTCTTTATTTTGCGGTTCCACACCCTGAAACAAAAGACAGGATTTCTCAGAAGGCTTCCTGTGTGTATTTAAAGCTTTATCCTTAAGATGGAGCAAATTGACCCGTTACAGGGAATCGATTCAAGTGAGTACGCTCGATCGGCATCGTTGTCACGCTCCGAGTGGTTCCTGGGTTGCTAACCAGGAAGTTAACACGTAGGAAACGGAATGGCGCGCGAATACAGCCATGAGAAAGCAAAGTAACTGGAAAGAGTTTAAAGGGAAAAGGGAAGGAGCAATTAATTCATTGTCGTTGATTCTGTGAATATAAAGCCGACTACACCTAAATAGAGAAATGTTTACAATGGATGAACCTGAAACAGACCTTGCATCTCGGGGCTCTCGTGGGAGAGGCCGTGAGCAAAGAAGATCCGTTGGTTCAAGCCCTGTTATCTCTCGTGCACGATGAAGTCGTGCTCTTCCACTCATCCGACTTTTACCTGAGGGTATGTAGACTAGGTCGGCTTCCTGCCGAGACGTCCGATGGCCCGGTGCCCCGATGCACCGATGCCTCGATGCCCGAACGATAAGCGAACGGAGAAACACCTGACGCAGGGTGTTTAAAGAAATCGTCGGAGGTGGAAGGGGGGTGGGACCTGGTTTTTTTGTTCGTAAATCGTCGTGGGTATTTTTTTTATGCACCGTAATCCTTTGTAATTTCTTCTCACGGATTGAGGATGCGTGAAATTTGATCGTTTTCACTGGAGTTTCTCACACTCCGAGTGACAGAATCGAGTGAAAATGAGGGTGTCGTCGAAAAGTAGCCACTAATCTTGACTTTTCTTTTCTGCCCCTAATTTCTAGATCTGAAGTACAAAGCGGGTCTGGCGGATCACAACAAGAGCCAGTTCAAGACGAAGGTGGCGGCCGATATGAAGCGGAGCCTTCGATCGAATTTCACCAGCGAGATCGAATTCTACGATTTCTGTCGCCAGAGACTGTTCCGACAATACTACGCCCTGAAGAACGTCGGACTCGTGTGACGGGTTGTGTCGTACGTGCAATCTCGGGGCCTTCTGTGATGAAGAAAACAAAAGACGTCTCTTTCCTGATGGAACTGACCAAGGAAGGGAGGAAGTGATATCTCCGTCCCTTTCCACTAGTCCAGTCCCACTTATTTTTTAGGCTTTCGTATCTCGAGCGACGCGACGAGAGAAGAAAGAGACGAGGCAATTAGTGCTCGGCTGGCTCGAGGAGGCCCGGCGAACCGGTTTCTTTTCTCTTCCTTCGAGCAGGTTCCACTGACCAACATCGCGATCCCAGATGAGAATAAAGTGACATGACATTGCCCGAAGTATGGCGTGCCATTCTTTCGACACGAATATCGCCCGTAAAAGGCTTGAAGCGGAGATCCGTGCCAAGAGTGGGATATCCCGATGATCCCAGGATCATTCCCCTCATGCCTTTTCCGCCTCAACTGAGTCTCATGCGTGACTTGCACTCCTCATTCCGATCGTTGCTGCGAGAAGAGCACGGACTCAGATGCAGACCAGGGTTTCACCGCCCGTTCACGTAAACACAATGCATATAGGTGAGCATATTTGGTGGGTGATTGCAAGGTGTCAGGAGGTTCCAGCGCCCTCGCGGGTAGAAGCTATTTCGGGGATGGATCCATTCATAAAATATAAAATAAGAAGCTGTAAGATTATCCTCCTCAGTTCGACGCAACGCGAGATGACTCCACTCGATCGGTCGAACCCTGTTCCGGCATCGCTCGTCTCCCTCCGTGGCGATTGCGGAAACGGGTTGCTCCAGTCTCTCGTTTTACGATGACCTACTTTAGCTCTTCAATCGGTTCAACGAATGGTTCGTGGACGATGTCTCTTCGTTTGTCTCCCGTGTCACCGGGAAACAGAGGTTCACAACCGGAAAGAAGGAACCAACTTAAATAATTTGCGGATAGTCGCTTGAGGACGAGAGAAGCATGCTCCCTCATTGGTTTCGTGATTAATAGCATTTCGTGATCGGGGAAGCTCAGTCCGAGCATTTCTCGACTCTGCTTCATTCTGTCCACGGCACACGTTCATATAATGCGTAACAGATAATCGAAATGAGCTTTACGAAGTCAGAATATGTAAATATCCATATATCCGCTGCATTCATATTTTCATTCATTTCATTCAATTTCACTTCGTATCCATATATAAGAAAAAAAAACACAAAAAATTAGTCATACCCTGTTATGTGTTGACTGATGAATGCGAAAGAGGGCGAATTCGTCTGACACTTCTTCCTCGGCCTTTTATTCGCATTATCGGTGCCCAGTGAAAGGACTCTGGGCGCCTGGAAAAACTCTCTAACTGGTGGGGATCGAACAGCTCGATTCTCGTTATTGTAGAGACCCAGCGCAGAGCGCCTGTAATGGAATCGCCTTCTGCTTACCTCGGCCTCGTCCGTTCAAGAATTTCGTCCATGGGCATTCGTGTTGGAGAAAAAAATCTGCCGGCGGAGGTGGACGCGGATGAGCACTCTGGCATTCATACGTTTAATAGCATGAAAATTAGGATGAGGTCTCCATTCCTCCTCTAGAGATATTTAGTGAATCTTTTGAATGGCCGAGAATCCGGTCCTTGGGCTGTTTTCCAGGCCAGAACGGAAATGTCCTCGTCCGACCGGGTCGGCCCACCAGGAAAATGTCGATGCTGACTTCCTACGTCCCAATTCCCCTTTCCTTCTTTCCTTGCGAATGAATATGTTAAACTCGTTCCGCTCGATGAGCTGTCGACCGGGCGTCGAATGTCTTCGAGTCCTCAAAAGAGGTCAGTTAACAAACCATGGGTCTAACCCAGGGGTTCTCAAACTGGGGGGCGCCAGAGGGTCCCAAGAGGGGTGCAACAGGTCATGAGAGCTACTTTTTTAAAATTATCTACCACAATGTGCAATTTAAAAAACTATGGAATATTTTATTCATCTAACTTCTTTTTCAACAGCAGAAAGGTCACATTCCTTCAGGTCTCTCTGGCACTTTCTCCAGGAGCAGAAGACTACATGAAAGCAATTCAAGAGGGCAAACTTATAAATTCGATTTCTCTTTTACAGGGGTGTACGTTTCCATTGGTGATTTACTACTATTCGAATTAAAATGACCAATGAATCGTGCGTCCCTTCGGGCTGTAACTTGAGTGCTCGATGAATGTAGCATCCGTGCATTCGTTCTGTCTAAATAAATACTTGAAGAAACTCAGTGACGCAGAAGAGCTGGGTTCCCGAGGCAGAGCAAAATTTCAGAAGATATTTCTCTGTCAAGTCTTTAAAAATGAGATTTGCGCCATTATTGTCACCGGCCTGTCCAGATTCGATCATTTGTGGGCCCGGAAACATGTGAGCGTCGTTCTCGTGAAATTACGCGAATGATATTCCGCTTCCTAGCTGTGACCCAGTCCCTAAAATGTTGAAATTATCCCACGGATGCTTTCTTTGCGACAATTGAACAATTGAAAAAAAAAAAGGAAACTGATTGCAATTTCTAGATACTACTCTCAGAGAAATGGGGCGCGACGCCGAGCCAGTGTCGCTGGGGGGGGGGGGGGGGGGGGGAGGTCGG